TTTGGTTTTAAGCACAATAAAAATGGACAAGAAAATCGATAGGGATAAAATTTGTACAGTCCTTTTCAACAGAACGTCATTTATATACATCTGGTGAAAGTATGCATTGTGAAATATTGACTAAAATCGATGGAAAGAATTGGTCAGAATTATAAAAGCAGCTTTATTCTTAAACGGCCCTGATAAATCACAGTACGTGAAAGCTTTTTTATGTTTTATTGTGAGACATGTATAACGTAATTTGTGACACAATCGCTATTAAAACGCATTACGATTTCAGGTTTAACAGGTCCCAGGGCCGAGTTTTGCATTTTGAAATATACTACTCATGTTTGGTAAGTAGTTAAAACTAAACGCCGGTAAAATAATGCGGTGCACGAATCAATGTACAAAATACGAGCGTCAGATTCATTCATTTGCCATGACAAACATGTATATCTTTGATTTGGCCCTTTTTGCTCTACACAACGCCTATCTCTTCATTTTAATAATTAAACTCCTAGTGTTCTTGATTTTGGAAATCAATATTTTATTCCACCTCGTCAATTATGTTGTTTTAAGTTGAAGGGAACTTTAAATCTAGTCCGGCAGCTTCAGTTGGAGTTATATCTCTAAAAATCCATACGAAGGTTGGACGTGTTAGAGTGATATTACCAGACAGCTGGAGGTTCAAATAATAAATAAGTAATTACGAAAGAAGTGTTTTTAATGTGGATGGATAGCTGGTTTAATTGTTTGTTTTGGGTGAAGATCAAGTCGGAAGGATGACCTGTTAAAATTAATACCATTAGTTATCGATTTTATTCATTTTTAAAGCATGCTCCGTCTGTGATCGGTGTAAATCAATCTTTTCGTCCAGAGGACAAAATTCATACCCTACACACGCTCGGCGCCGTTTGCTGACCGTTATCCTGAACTGTGTTTGTAACCTTTGACCTGTTTTGGCATGGCCTTCAAAAAACATCCACCGATTGAAGAATAATATGTGGTAATCTTCACCTTCAAATTGGACCTCAGTTGACATTGACTAGGTTTGCATATGAAATTCTGCGCAACAGTCATTCCGGAGTGTGTTGTGATCCAGCGCGGGTTTTCCTCAATGAAAATCCTCTCAGTGTGTTAGTAGTTGTAGTAGTAGCAGTAGCAGCAGTGTACGATTATTCATGTTCAAAAATTCGTTTGGTTCACCAGAAGAAAAACATTAGATTGGTATGATCTAATTCGCAAATCAGTTCTTTTAAGTTGTTTGGTGCAAGTCTTGAAGGAAATCTGGGACAAAGAGAAGTTTTTAATCAGGCAATATATTTCCTTGTCCCACACCACAGATTGAATATCCGGAGAGATGTTATGAGGCAATCCACCATAATTGTTCACTTACAGTTGATGTAATCCGCGAGTTTGAGAAAATGTTTTTTCAAACGGCTTAAATGATTCAAAGACTGTGCAAAAACGATGTTGACTCTTCAATGCATCTGATTTAAACGAAACCAATTCTCGGTGACCTGCAGCAGTTTGAATTCGTGGACATTAGCGAATCACTGTCCCTTCAAAATATGAGGCGATACCGATTTATAGTAATCAATCTTTCGAGCTCTTCTCGAAAACTATCAGGTTCACCTCGAAATGGGACTCACTTATTCCAGTGATTTTTTGCCTCGTTCAGTGCAGGAAAAACGATTGGGCAAACCAGTTCGAGATTTTCTGCCATCAGGGCTAGAATGTACTCATCGTTCCACAGGAACAATGCTCGTTCGGCTACCTGCTCAGATGCCAAAAGTACAGAATCAAAAATGTGATCGGAATGTTGCTTCAGTGTTTTACACAAAAGTTGATCATCATTGTACAGCGTAATACAGTGAAGCGAAATTGATTGATCGTTGCCACACTCATATTGCATACAAGTTAAGTGAGATTTTGTAAAGAGGATAGGGATTTGACTTAATTTTAGGGACAGGAAACGAAAGGAACCTCTTTGGTGAACACAGAGTAAACAGTCCAACTGTACATACGTGCTTTTTCAAGCATTCTGGTCTGATAAGAAATAACGACAAGATCGTCATTGGTGTCAGTTCGCGGTCAAGGCCTGCAGTGTCTCCAACCCGGAAGATGAGAGGTATCTATTCTACCTAATCGCTGTGCGCCTTTTTTATGCCTCGCGTCTGCACCTCATCTTTTGACCTCCTCGTCGCTTTCTCCAGTCTGCAACATCCACCGCAAGCAAGGCGCGCTGTGGTAGGTGACCGCAGGATATACGCAAACCGTGTCCTACCCAACGGAGCCTATTGAGCTTGAGTTGATAACATCCGTTGAACCTTTGATCTGTCAATGGAGCTAACAGTCAATTGTTCCCGTTACGGACTATGTGAACATAAAAGCAAGAAGTACTGTTCCGAGTATTTTGACCACGGTGCACTTCTGTTCAGTGACAATACGGTGTGGGTGAGTATACACTTGTGATCTTGCTGTTATTGAATACTTTGAATGTGATCGATCATGAACCACGGTTTTCCGATGTTACTACTACTACCTACTATTGNCCGCTCGTTTGAATTTGCAGATCAGAGGATTTTGCATGTTGTCTCCATGTCGGAAGGATAGGTGTGAATCATTAGGGATGGAAAAACGACGGGGTCATGTTGACTCAAAACGCACGTTCATACTAAATGCATTGTTCGATTTCGCCATCATCGATCAATTGATAGATGAAAACGTGACTGTATCTCCAAACGGTCATGTCAGGTCAGTCTTTTGCTCTGCTATGGAATTCGTGGTATTTTTAAAATCAATTTTTCAAGTTATTGGATGCAAACTACCGAAACTTGTGCTCCTCTGAAACACCATCAACATCTATCGCCGAAGCGTTGTTATCCGTTTCACTTGTCCGTATTTGAGTGAATAACGTTCTATAAAACTCGTTAGACGTTCTGGAACCGAGATCCAAATGAGTTTGACTGGTCTGGTTTTATTCACTTCTTTTGTTTTGTTCTAGAAAGCTCAGCAATAACACTTCGTTCTCATTTATTCAGGGCTTTTTTCTAAGCATAAACTAAAAACCATTTATTTGGTAGAATAAGTCAGCCTTGAGAAAGATGATGGAGAAATTAAAGATGTTTGCAAAACGATAATGGTATAACTAAATGAAAATGATAGAGCCAATTTTCTCAACGGAAATAAATTAGGGGACATATAAATTGTTTTGAGGAATGAAATCGAACGCCGTTTTTGTTTTCTTTTTTGCAAAGAAATTACTATTGGTTCTGAAATTGGGGAAATCAAATAGTTCTACTCAACACCATCTTTTGATCTTAAGAGGAATGCGCAGATCATGAATTGCCGCGCAATGAAAACAGTTGTATAGCTATTCTCGTTGAGTATACCTGGTACGGTTTTGGAAATTTTCATTTAAGAATATTTTTTCTTGTTTTGACTAGTAGAATTTCACCAATTCTCATTATGCTTTATATAGAGGAGTGGAAACAGGCACGGTTTGAATCAAACGTTTTGTGATGCGAAACGCAGCTGAGGTGACATCATCAGCACTGCTGATGAATGTCACCTTGGCTGGTGATGAAACGTTTTGCAAACAAATTGCCAAGCTCGGCAAACAGGCGAAATAGAACAGTCAGATTTCCCCAATTTGTCATAGCTGCTTCAGCACGGAAAGTAAACGTTTAGACACCCTGGATAAAAAACGGCGAATACCTGAAAATGAAGTGATTCGATGCATCGGGCAATTTGAGTGAATACGAGCTGGGCAACTATTTGAAATTCGCTGGAACTGGCGCACTCCAAACAGGCTTTCAATTCGTTCAGGAACAGAACTTCTTTGTTCGAATTTGTTTTCGGCCAGAATCGTAGTACCCCCTCCATCAGTACCTGAGTAAAACACAAACGAAACACACACACAATGAAGAGTGCGGAGGTGGATATTAAATTGTGTGCTAGAGAGAGAAGCTGAGCTGGGTCGGATGATTCTCATATTTGCACAAGGCGTATTGAGGAAACATCTCATAGTACAATAGTCCACATTATTATAACATTTGTCCGTTCTGATTGATTTGAACTGACTATCCTTCAGACTTCACCTTCACGCACAATCCTCAATTGATCTATTCAACCATATACTCGGAAACACTAGACTCGAGTTTCGCTCTCATCAGTAGTGCACAGTGATAACACACACGCCTCCCATGCGATGAGTTTAAATCCCGGACGTGAGGGGTGGATATGCACTACTGATGAAATCTAATAAGAGCGAAACTCGAGTCTATTGGTTCCGAGCGCATGATTGAATCGATGAAATGAGGATTGTACTTGACGATGAAGTCCAAAGGATAGTCGTTTCAAATCGATCGATCGCAATTATCCAACCCCACTACTCACAAGTAACTGTGAGTTAAATGCTCATTTGTGTTTGATTTTTTGAATGCTAATCTAACTTGTTTGCCGAAAGGTGGCAGTGCTAAACATATTTGGTTTTCGGTTGCGATCAAAGAACTCAATCACCAAAGTGAGAAACATCCGGAAAAAACATAGTTTTTTCCACCGCCGGTTCTAACCGCATGTACACACTGCGCTGATTTGCAGAATTCAGACCGATTTCAATTGGACGATAAAACAATGTTTTATCACATGTCAACCTTTTTGATCAAAATTATTCGGCTTATTATCTCTAGGCAGTGCGCTGAAAAATCTGAATAAGCGGAAATGGCAAAGAATGCACTCATACATCTTGACGAGTTTCATCAACGGTGAAGAAATTCAAAAATCATTTTATCAATCTGGATCAGACGTCGTGTCATCGCTGCTTCTATCAGTGGCGACGAATAACAAAAGAGATAGGAATGTTCATTTTACCCCTTGATCAGTGGAGGTTGGTTTTCCACTGCCAACCAGATATATAACACAATCAAAACGGAATAGGTTTCATGCAATTAAATTATACTTTTGAGCTATACCGATTTATATATCCATTTGATTTTGAACACTTGATCTCCGTTGATATTAGTAAACTTAGAATTGGTGAAATCAAAGCAATTGCCTTCATATGTGTTATGTAACATATTTTTTTCAGAGTGTAAGCAGAGATATAAATTCATCTTCTTCTCAGACTTATAACTTTCAAAATGGACACTGAACTGAGTATGTTTTTACACATTTTTATCAAATACCATATCACAAGAGAGATGAGTGGCTCACGTCATGGATGTACATCACCGTCATTATAATCCATCGAGAATTTTTGGTAAACTGCTATCCAAAATTGATGCGCCTTTGTAAGGCCGCAGCTCCCTTCCTGAAAGTTGACTGTATATTTGTATATTCAATAAATAGAAAAAGGAAGTAAAAAGATATTTAGAGTATCAAGCTTGGATTAGCCCATTCGATTGTTCAGAGGCACCAGGCACTCTTAATGGCCATCAAGGTGTCACGGTTCGAGTCCTGATAGGGAAACAAGAAATACGCACTGCTGACGAGTCCCAAACCGGACGAAACAGCTGTCCCGGTGCTCTTTTTTGGTTATCACAAACATCTCCATCGCATTTAAAAAGACATTTTATTTAATTATTTTCTGTCATTATTCATGATGATATTCATCCTCACGTGAGTTCACTATCGTCCATCAATCAAAGAATTGTTCATCAATGACTACATACAATGCCAGACAATTAGGGCGCTAACTGATGAAGTACAAAATGTCTGTAGTTAACTTCGAAGGCACAAATTTATATTTACAGGTTACCTACCGTCTATACCTAGCTGAAGAAAATCAAAATTGAATGGAACAAAATAAAACCTTTCCCTGAAAATAACTTTATCACTTAATTGATCAGTTATCCCAACCAAGTACCGTCTCGTTTACTCCACACTGATTTTGCACACGCGGTACAACCATGTGACTCCATGGCCTTCATCTTAAACACACATCCCATTGGCTAGTTAGACACCGAATTCTACTGAACACGTTATGCATCTGACCTTGACTTGCGACAGTCAGATGACCACTGCCACAAAACAACCAATATTTGTAGATAATGTTACTTAACCTGGCGAGGAAAGTTTGACAACAATCCTGAACATCAAACGAACCCATCCTCTCTCGCTAAAGCGCTGAAAATTTATATCACTGTTTGTGGATTTGAAGGATGAATATTCACTTTTTAAGCTGTAATAAACGTGTTCAATTGACATAAATTAATCAATTTAAAATCGAGTATAGAACTACTGTAAATATTTATTCCAATCACAATGACCAACTTGAAATGCTGTTCAGAAAAACTATTTTGCCAAGCATGTTGTCAGGTTCGATTTAAAATGTCTATTCCTCAATATTGTAATTGGATAAACCGCCGGAGTAGTAGTATTGTTCACCGCAATCCAAGTAAATTCAGTTGAATTTATTTCTGAATTCATTCATTCACCAGTTCACTCTTTCAAAATTATCCCCCCAATCAACCTATTGCCGTACACACAAGCATTACGTCTATCAGTTCTACAAATTACAGTATCTCATTCTAAACTCAGATTTATTCTACGACTTGTGTTTCCTCTTATCGTCTGTTTATTCTGTATGGTGCTGTTTGGTGCCGCTTGATTTAGTACCGAAAACAAGTTTTTCTGTGAATCTGTTTTCATGCACACTCGTTTGAGAATATTTTTGCATATTTCTAAACTCAGTGCGTTGCTGAGAGCCGCGAACGTTGAATTAAGGCAAGCATATATATATTCTATGTGGACGGTATGTGCGCTGAATTCATTAAGACTACTCTTGAACGAATGGATCAATCCAGGCAAGATTTGNGTTATACGAGGGTGATTGACCCAACCAGAAAGGTGAGTGCGAAAATCATTGCATTAAATCAATGATGGTATCTTTGTAGCGTAAACCAAACATTCAGCTTGCATTGGAGCTCACTCTGTTTTTAACCTCCTCAGTACTAACAAGGTTAGGGCTAATTTCAGTCGTGATAAATGACTTACAAGCGGGTGACTCTGTTCCTCATCTTCCGCTACTGCCCATTGGCCGGAGCTACGTTAATGGTTGGACGCGTTCGAAGTCGAAGTCGACTAGTTAGCCTGCAGCATCCCCCTTCGAACACCTATATCGCTTCAACAGAGTATATTAGTGCCCATCGTGCAGCTGAAACGAGGAGCAGTTCGTGATTCACGTTCCAAGGGTGAGATAAGCGGAAGAAACCCACCTGAAAGCGGTGTTTCATAGTTGATGAGATTCCCAAGTCAACTGCACCTGTTTCCCATGAACACCCGGATTACCATCTCATATTTTCTTGTTCTTGCTCACCAACCCCCTCTGTATAATTCTCATCCAAATTGAAGAAGGATTATTTCAATCCATCCGAGTCACGGAAGTACTTCATTTATTGCTTTTTCATGTACCGTTTTTAATTCCAATGACAAGAGCCATCAAATCAGTGTAGCTAAATCTATGGCAGTTCTCTAGCACACATCATTAACAAGGTGAGTAAGTACGAATCACTGTTACGTAAGGACAGAGAGACTGTTGACAACTTCAGGAGAAGTGAGTAAACACCGTGGGAAATGTTCGTTATATCTTTTAATATAGTGATTTCAATCACGCAAATTAACTTTCCGATTGCGCTGGTTATCACTGGACCCCTTTGAGTATAATTCGGTCACATCTTCAGCTAAGCTGAATTAACCGAGTATTATCCATCGCTTAGTTAAGAGAGTTTGTGAATCTCGGGATTCCTTCATTTGCACCTACATCTGAAGCTTCCTAAATAAAAGGGATGCGTTTAAGGTGTGGACCAACCAGTATTACTTTACTCTACATTTGTAAGGCTAATCCCTGTGTCAGGATTAGTTGGCTTCATTGATGTCTTTGAAAATGGCTGCTCATAGACGAAGCTGAACGGCAAGGTCGATGTGGAGTGGAATCCGGTTCTTACTTCAACTTTGGAGGTCCTACACGGCTTTTGAACCGAAATAATCTTCAATAACCGTGAAAAGGCAGGTCTTCAACTGATCAACGAAACCATAGAGACATCCCGAAAGTGGTTCTGAGAGAAGATCTCTTCTAGAGAGCCCCGTAGTTGGACGTCGCAGAACATTACCAATGTACGAGAGCTGATAGTGTCACAGAATTGCAGATAGTTTTCGATCTAAGTGATATTAGAGATCACATAGCATACAGGATCCATTGCGGATTCCGAATTACCATTGGTTAGATACGGCCCTATATAGACTGATCCGTCACCTAATCGTCGCGTGGGATGAGATGATATTGCACTATGGAAGCCATATGAATACCGTTCGCTGTAATCTGATAAGTTCTACTAATCGCAAAGTATTTTTTGGGTTCGTCTGATCTCAGTTACGACTGACTAAATACAACCTCCCGAACCGGGAGAATGATTGACTAAACACCTGGACACGTTGCATTGAATGGCATTTAACATTGGGTCCATAGCAATGATTATCTCTTTTTGGTGTCAATTTTCTCACTCACCGTAGACATTGTGAAGAAGGCTGTTTTGAATCTTCGATCAGTTGCTTCACCCTGAGATTTTTGGTTCTTTTTACTAGCACGTACGGAATAGTAAACGACAATCTACTACTCAGGGTTTATCACTAGGTCTGGGCAGCGAAATCTCACCCGGTGGACGCATTACGGATGAAGTTTCAGCTGGCATTAAGAAAGCTCGGTTGGCATTTGCCAACTTGAGACATCTGTGGCGCCATCGCGAGATCCGACTGTCTGTGAATGTTCAATGTTCAATGTTCTTCAATTAGAGGCAGAGGGTAATTTCCCGTATGAGCC